AAAAAACCATTGAAACCTGTAAAGAATTTTTGTGAGTTTATTTGAGCCAAACTGTGGACATATGCCAGGAAGCAGAACCTCAATGAATTGAGATAATTCTGGCGGGTTACATTTGTATTTATACATTGCAATCAAGGGAGGGACATATGTGGGTTACATGAAATTCATTGGTGATAGTTTAAGGAGGAGGGATAAAGAAACCCCTGGGATTGGATAAAAAGTTAAAGGATGGACACATACTTAGGTGGGTGCAGGATCAATTAACATGATAATGAAGGAATTTGTGGTATCTGTTCTGGTGCCCAACAAATTAGGTTGTGCCCCAGGGGCTCCAGAAAAAAGGGAAGTTCCAAGTTACCCAGACATTTCAAGAGTATGTTATCATAGATGCAAAAAGACAGATAGGCTCAGTTAAGGTAAAGGTTGACCTTGTCAGTGAAGATTCTGGCCTAGGAAGTAACTGCCCACCATAACAGCTTTAGTTAAAGTTTAATTTCAGACCATCCTTTGTGGTTACTTTAGGTCTCGAGTGAATTGGAAGGTCTGACTGGCTTGATTCCCCATTCACGTGTTAACGAAAAAAACCATTCAAACCTGTAAAGAATTTTTGTGAGTTTATTTGAGCCAATCTGTCAACAATATCAGGGAAGCAGTATCTCAACGGGTTGGGATAATGCTCCAGGGAATGGCGGTTTCTCTTATATTTTTATATTTTGAAATCAAAGGAAGGGACTTACTTGGGTTACATGAAATCCACTGGTGATTGATTAGAGAGGCGGGAGAAAGCAAAGGGCGGGGGGACTGTGGGATTGGATAAAGTGTAAAATGATAGACACATACTTAGGTGGGTGCTGGAACAATTAACATGATAATGATGAAGGAATTTGTGGTATCTGTCCTGTCGCCTAGGCACTTTAAGTTGTGTCCCAAGGGGTCTGGAAAAAGGGAGGTTACAAGTTACCCAGACATTTCAAGGATTTCTATAATAATAAAAGTATAATATGCTAATTAGACCAGACATCTTTCCTGAGGACATTCCGGACGAAGCCAGGGCTGCAAGAGAAGCCCGGGTCCCAGGTGCCTGCTGGTAGCGGGCGGGAAGCCTGGGTCCCAGGTGCCAGAGGGAAGCTGGTGTTGGCAGCCGGGGAAGGGAGCCCTACTCTTGCACGAATTTCCTGCATCTGACCTCTTGTGTTATTATAGATGCAAAAAGACAGATGGGTTCAGTTAAGGTAAAGGTTTAACTTGTCATCAGTGAAGATACAGGCCTAGGATGTAACTACCCACCATAACTGATTTTAGTTAAAGTTTAATTTCAGACCATCCTGTCTGGTTACCTTAGGTCTCTGACTTTGCAAGACCGCCATTGAGGCCTTCCCTGAGCTTGTGAGGTTAGCATGTGGCCACTGTGGCCCACACATGAATCGTGCAGCATCCCATCTAGTAAATGGAATCTCACAGAAGCTGTTCAAAATGGAAGGCTTTTACAATAGGCAGAAAGGAAGTGGCTTTGAGAGGTTATTAGCAAAAGAAAAGAAAGGATTGCTTCAGGCAGGGTCACCTTTCCTTAGGGGAAGGAATAGCAAGAGTCCTTTAGACAGATTAGTGTTGAACAAGTTGCAGAGTGATTGGGTTAAAATTTTATTCCTGGGAGAAGTTGAAACTTCAGTTACATACAGTCCTGCACCCCTGAACCTGGGGAGGACATCCTGAGGCAATTTTGTTGTTTTCAGTTCTCTTACACAAACCTGCATGGTGTAGCCTGAAAAATCAGACAGAGGCCGAAAACCAGGACTACAGGCTTTATTAGAAGGAAGCACCTGCAGGGCTGTCTGGCAAGGGGAGAACAGCAGCATGTGCAGAGGTGGGCATGCCTTTTGAAGGGCGCAATGGGAAGGGGTGGGGGTTTAGTGTACTTGGTGCACACTGATTGGTAGCTTACTGTATGGTCCATATAGGAACAAGGGCTTAGGGTATTTGGCAGGTGTGGATTGGTGGTCCATGTATAGTCAATGTAAGGTACATGATTACTCACTCCGGTATTTCCGGGCTGCAGGTTACATCGTACTCCGCCCACCAGTTGGGGGAAAGAAGGATCTATCATAGCCTACTACACACCTAGGTTATGTGGTATGGCCTGTGCGTCCTTGACAACAGGCCTGTACAACATGCTACTGTACTGAATACTGTAGGCAATTGTAATGCAATGGTAGTAAGCATTTATCAGAAGGTGCAGTAAAAATGCGGCGTGCCAGATAAATGGTACATCCCTGTGGGGCACTGACCCTGAATAGGACTAGAGGCTGCTCTGCAGGAGTTAGTGATTGGTGAGTGATTATGAAGACCTACGACATTATTGTACCCGACTGTAGAATTTATGACACTGTACACTTAGGCCAGGAAATTTACAAAAAACAGATTCATCAAGCCCAGGAGGCAATGATGCAATCAGAAAGCACAGTCAACACAAGACCTCTGAGGCTGCTGCCTGCATAAAACTGTTTCACAGCCAAGTTTTCTTTCAGTAAGTAGACTTTTATGGTTTCATGACTTACATTTAAGTCTTTTATCCATTTTGAGTTTATTCTTGTGTATGGTGTAAGTTAGTGGTGTAGTTTCATTGTTTTCCATGTGTCTGTCCAATTATCCCAACACCATTTATTGGAGAGACTCTGTTGACTCCATTCTATGCTCTGGCCTCCTTGGTCAAATGTTAATTGAGTGTAATGGCTTGGTTCGATTTCTAGGTTCTCTGTTCTGTTCCATTATTCTAGTACTAGAGGCCCGGTGCACAAAAATTTGTGCACTCGGGGGGCAGGGGGTGGTCCCTCAGCCCGGCCTGTGCCCTCTCACAGTGTGGGACCCCTCAGGGGATGACCACCTGCTGGCTTAGGCCCCCTCCCCGGGGGATTGGGCCTAAGATGGCAATCAGACATCCCTCTGGCAGCCTGGCAGCCCTCGGGAGATGTCCACTTGCTAGCAGGGAGCAGGCCTAAACTGCAGTTGGACATCCTTAACGCTGCTGAGGAGGCAGGAGAGGCTCCCACCACCACC